AAAAGTACCTAGTGAAGATTGGAGTAATGAGGGGTTTGTCCATCCCAAGCTCAGGGTTAAGGGACATGGATTTCTGGCACTTCGGAGAAATCATGAAAAGAATTATAGGCATCACAAAGAGCAGATCACAGCATGGAGATTATGAAAATAACATCAGGAATCAGGACGACCAAGAGTCGATATACTTTTGAACTGAGTCAAAAATTGTGAACTTGACTATATAAATGAAATAGCTAAGTGATAAAGAAGGAAAAAGCAACACTCCTCACAAGCCTTCCGACCTAACACGAGAAGAGTGACAAATTTCTTATCGTATAAAATATGGCAAGTATGAGCATAAATATATTGGTGAAACAGAAGTATCAAGAAATATGAAAGACTCTGCAAGAACAGGTATACGGAAAGATCCGAAATAGTAGAGCACATTGCACATATTGGACATTAAATCGACTAGAAGTCGACAGAAAGGTTGGCTACATATGGTTGAAATATGATAAAACGCAACAGGTGATCGATCTCCTTACTGAAATAAATATGATTAGCAGGTGACTAGAACAAGGCAGAATTAGCGAAAACCTTGCATATAGCCTAAACAAACTCAGAAGAGATAAGGAAGCAGCATGGTCAGCAAAATGAAGACAACTGGTTCAACGTAACACATTGATTTTAGGAAAATAAATTGCAAGGAGTTAAGGAAGGAACGATCGAAAACTAAGAGGAGACGTCTACAGTAAGTCTAATCAAAACAACTAGAGCCACAACAATTGTGGGTTGTCATACAAGAGACTATGTTATAGTAAGTCATAGACTTGGCACTATGGGTAGAAGCACGATAGATGCGGCTGATACTAGAGCTAGTTGTCTAGCAGTAGGCGTGTTTGATCATAGAAGTGGTATGTGAAGCAAAGGTTTGACCGTGAATATTACTCGGTCCATATGTCGAGCGGTCCCGCAACCAGCTTGAGAATCCAGACTTTGGGTGCTGCTCAGTGAGGTGGGACTATATGTGCTTTCAGGGGCTTGAGGCGGAGTGCACAAAATAACACATCGAGTAGCACGGATAAAGTGGCAGGCGTCAAATGAAATCAATGAACCAAGGAGATGAGAGACGGTTGCTACGGGACAAGAGGGAAACTTTTACAGAACCTGGAGGAAGAGGATTGCGGACTAAACAACAGTCTTGGATCAGCACTCGAAGCAGAGTGAGGAGAAAAGTGTGTATAGTTTTTAACTAAATCTCCTCAAAAGGGTCACCTCAAATAGGTTTAGATAAACAATCCGGAAATTGTGTTAGTGAAGGAATGTTACGGGAATATAGAATGGGTGAATACACCAGGACAGGAGAAATACCACAACTGTTTTTCAAAGAATCAACTACACTTGTCTCTTTGGCAAGTTGTAATGTGGTGCTAAGACTGGCAAGGCTCACTGAAGATACCGACTAGGATGTCGACGAAACGTCTTAGAATGTGTCAAGTCCACGGTCCGACTCTGAAATTTATGCAAACCACGGACTTCGGACAACGAGCGTTTCTCTAGGTCTTCCTGTCAGTATGACCAAGTTGTCAAAACAATGTGAATCCCATTCTAATTAATTTCTTTTAATAACTAATTATCTCGAATAATCTTAAATAATACCGATATTATACTAAAAACAAGCATATTGACGAATCTTGAAGGGAGCTAGATAGAATTGCAAGAAGCTTACTTTGCGAAATAGTCCTTTGCAAAGGTATCTACTTGAGCCAAGAAGTCACGAACACCACCAATCAGCTCGCCTTCGAACTGCGGCTGGATGCCGAGAAGGTGGTCTTGAACTTGCCTTGCTTGACTGCGCAACTTAGAGTATCCATAAGCCAATGCATCCACACGTTCTGCATTCCCGTCATTGAAGTATAGCTCATAACGCCCCAGCATCGCGTAGGCCTCCTCGATTGGGCCGATCATCAGGTCCAAACGGATCTCGGCCTCACGCAGTTCAGCCAGTGCAGCCATGTGCATGCGAACATCGTCAAGATCCTTGATGGGCCGAGACAAGCGTTTCATCATGTTGTCGAAGAACTCGAGCACTTCATCCATTTCGCGGGCGCAGCGCTGGTTAACCGCTTTGCCGAATTCGTGACGCCAGGTGACGCACTCTTGAATGAGGCCCTCTTTAAGGGTGTCGCACATGAATATTAGAGAGCCAACCCGGTGGCTTGAAGGTATGCCTCGAATGGTGACTTCTAGATCCTAGAATTTATATTAGTAAAGAGAAAGAATTTATATTAGATAATTTGATAAAGGCTCTTTTTGTAATATAATGGAAAAGGCGATAGGCTGACTCTCGTGTATATTGGCGAGCAAGTGACTGGAATTAAGTCTAATAGGAAGAAGTATCCAAGACTATTCAGAGTTGTATTAGTCAGAAATACTGTTTATGCTCAGTGAATGCCAATCTAAGCGGTCTCCCCTAGCCCGAGCTTGAGTGTACGCAAAGTTTGACTTGGAATTCTTATTTAGCATAAGTATGTATTAGTTGCGTTCATACAATTTCGTTGAGGGTGCTACTGGTGCTCTCGAAACCAACTTAGAGACAAAAATATTAAAAATTATACTAAAGATAGATAGGTACAGAGCAAAAAATGGTGGCTGGCTATATATAGAACTGGATTTTGATATGGGTTTTTGATATCGCCATTTACCGTTGGTTCATAACTATGGGTAATTTGGCTGATGATACCTTCCACAAAGCCCACATGGCGTCTGGTAATATGACTAGTAAATAAATTAGAGTAGGGTTTCGAAACTACCAGTAAATCAGTATAATGAGATGTATTCACCCTATTTCGTCTAAGGTGATGAAGGACTGGTAGTAGAATTTTCCCACAAAGATATGAGTTGAGCTGACGTTTACATTGAATTTCACATAGCCTTGCTTTCCCAAAAGTTGTTCTCATCCAGGGTGAACTGCAGTTTCGACCTCACATCGGTCTTATGAACACCCTCATCGGGAGTCGAACCGCGACAGTGCAGGACGGTAGCTGGACACGCTAACTACTCGGCTACACTGCCACGAGTACCCTT